TTTTTTTTTTTTGGCCACACATAGCACGTTCTTTACTCCTCCACATTTTTAGGCTAAAATCTAAATGTCATTATTCATCTCCTTAACAAAGGAAAAACAAAAGCTGCAACTGCAAGTCCGATGCACCAAACACTATCCCCCTAGAAGAGAACATGAAATGACACTAGAACCCATCGACACAAACAAAGACTACACTAAAAAACAAAAGGGCAATTATGTCATTTAAATTCCCACGCCACCTTCATCTTCATCTCCTTCCACAGTTGTACAATTAGACTGTACCTACCGTTCCATATCGCCTGCATTTCTTTTCTTTATCTTCCCATCGCGTTCACATGACGATCAACCCAAACACACGACCGGAAAATTTTCAAGAACTGTAAAACGGAAAAAAAATGAAGATCAAGCCCATCCGTAGTGTTCATCTTACTCGCCTTTGGGCGTTTCCTTGCGACGAAGTATAGAATCCAGCCTCTGCAACTTGAGATTCTGTCTGAACCTGTTGATGAAGTCATCGGCTTTTGCATCCACGTCCCCCTTCTCTCCGATCGACACCGTTTTCTCTAACCTCGTCGTCGCCGGTCGCCTCCGCTCTATCTCTTCCACGACTTCCTCGTTCTGTCTGGAGTTCTCGCTTGCTGACTTCTTTATCTTCTCCGGCAACCTCCTTTGAGTCACGTTCTTCTCTGATTTGCTCCTATTTACATGAACTGGATCCCGGACGGAGTCCGTACCCGAGTCCCACTCGGCAGCTGGAGGGATTAACTCTGTTTCTGGGTTCTTTTTTAGTGAGTCGGATCTGTAAAACGAGGTGAAATCAATGGATCTGACCCGCTCCAACAGAGACGGAGTTCGTGTAAGTTGAGGGAAATCAGGTTGTTGTGGGGCGGCTTCGTACTGCGGGTCGGGGTGTAAGACGTGGTCGGATTCCGGATACGAAGGAGCGAATTTGTAAAGAGAGAAGTTGATGGACTTGACCCGATCCAGGAGCGAAGGAGTCCGCTCGAGCGGCGGGGGCGGCGCAGTGTGTTCCGTCTCCGACGGGTGGACAAAGGGGACGTCGTGGTTTGGATAACCAAACTTGTGGAAAAAGTCGGTGGACTTAATCCGCTCTAGGATTGAAGGAACCCGCTCAAGCTGCGGCGGCGGCACAATGTACTGCTGCTCCGGCGCGTGGACAAAGGGGGTCTCATAGTTCGGATGACCATAATTGTAGAAAGAAAAATCAAACGACCTCACCCGCTCCAGGAGCGACGGCGCCCGGGCCAGCGGCGGAGCTCCATAATCGGGTCCAGGTTGGTGGTAGTAGTGGTGGTACTGTTGTCGTCTCGAGGAAGTGAAACGCGAGGTGATAACAATCGTGCCGATGACGATGTTGAGCAGAAGGAAGAGAGAGCTCGGCGTCAACCAGCTCGTCAGTGAAGCCAACATGACCGTCGCCGATGGTCGATCTGTCCGGCAGTTTGTGTTTTCCGAGAGAGGTGAGAAACGAAAACAGCAAAGGTCAGTATTTAAGCCTGAAAGAAGTGCACTTTTCAACTTTACAGGTTGACGTTAAATTGTTTTGTTTCTTTACGGCGAAAATTGAAACTTTGAAAGGCCAACCCCAACAAATTAGATCAGAGCACGTGGTTTCCTCCCTCTTCTTTTATTTTTTATTTTTGGATTAAATGTCAATGTTCTTGAATTTTAAAGGTGTACATAATTTTTGTTTTTTAATTTTTTATGTATTTTTTAATTTTTTAATTAT